TTGCCCAATCCCTAACTCGCTCATCTTCTAGCATCCGCTCGAACTTGATCTTCTCCTTTTCACTTTCACATTCTCTTTTGTGCGCCACGAATGACCGACAAAGATCATCACCGCTCATCTTCTGCGGCTACCTCTTCTTCGACTTCTCCCATTGCAATCATTGAAGCACGCACCATCAAGAATAATATCATTGTCGTCCCATTGTTCTTCTTCACCTTCTTCCATTACAACATCGGTTTCTCCGTGCTTTGTCCAACAAATATAGTTTGGCATGAAACCCGACTTGAACAAGTGTGAATGAAGAGTCCTTGAGTAAGGATATTCCACCGTATTCTTACATATGGCACATGGGCAAGACATGAAACCGTCAAGGCGTTTGTTTGCCTCGCCAAGACGTAAATAAAGAATGAATGCGCCGTCAATGAACTCTTGGGAGCGGCGATCAAGATTATACATCCAATGACGGCTCATCTGCATTACATGACATAAATATCATATTAAAACCTAGATCATAATTAATTATTTATACAACATGCGTGCCACCACAAAAGATACAAATTTATGAAAGCATCGCTACAATGTAGACAATCCCAACTACCACTAAAAGAACTAAAGCTAAAATACATTTTAGGAGCACAAGGATTTCATGACCAATCTCAACTAAAATGACAGATCCCCGATTGTGCAACAATTTTGGGCTTCTTCTTTGGATCATCGCCTCATTAGCCAGATTCCGCCTCACAGCAAGATATTTTTGCACGAGTTCAACATACTCTTCCTCCCAAAGAGAAGCTCTGAACATCGCCCACCGCCATCCCACCTAAAATTAAAACAAAAATTAGAACTTTAATCACAACCATCATGAAAATAGGTATAAACTAACCATAATCATTAAATACGATAAAATAACTCACATTGCGATCCGGACACTTGTAGAAGATACGATCCTTGTTGGGACCCTCCTTCTTCACTCGGTACTCCATCACAATCTTCGCCTCATCACGACACTTGCCGCATGGAATGAGAGGAAGGCCCGCCTAAGTCGCTTTGGAAACCCATGAGAGGCCGACGACCCTAAGCAGTTGCCATCTACTCTCTATACTCATTTTTAATACACTATAAATTTCTCCTTTTATAAACAAATAAAATTAACAAACTATAAAATTATCTAGATCTCTAAACAATGATATTTTTAATGGTCATTGTGTTCTCGTCTTTTACTGCGGCAGGTAGGTAATTCACATGATATTTTCGTAAATTAATAGAAGAATGGGAGTGTACACACATAAGAGACTACTGCGACGATATCGGGACGTGTGAATAAATAACCATCCGTACTAGTTGACCTTGCTTACGTGATCATCTCGGCGAGCATTTCTCCACCGGACGGCACCATACTTGGCCACGGAAGAGCTCCAATTCTACGAGGAAGGGAACACGGTCTTCCACGACCGTTGCCGCTCTCCCTTGTAGAATCAAAGCTCCTCCTTGACGTCCGTTACCGCTCGGCAGAGAACATGCTCGCCGAAATGAACACGGTCCGCTAGTTCAACTAGTACGGATTTTCTATAATTTTCTAACTATTTTATGAGTTTTTCATTTCATAAAAAGTTAAAATAAAAAGTACGGTGATTGACAGACTACTGCGACGATATCGGGACATGTGAATAAATAACCATCCGTACTAGTTGAACTTGCTTACGTGATCATCTCGGCGAGCATTTCTCCACCGGACGGCACCGTACTTGGTCAAGGAAGAGCCCCGATTCTACGAGGAAGGGAACACGGTCTCCCACGACCGTTGTCGCTCTCCCTCGTAGAATCAAAGCTCCTCCTTGATGTCCGTTACCGCTCGACAGAGAACATGCTTGCCGAGCTGAACACGGTCCGCAAGTTCAACTAGTACGGATTTTCTATAATTTTCTAAGTTTTTATTTATATATACTACGTTTAGGTACGGTGATTGACAGACTACTGCGACAATATCGGGACATGTGAATAAATAACCATCCGTACTAGCTGACCTTGCTTACGTGATCATCTCGGCGAGCATTTCTCCACCGGACGTCATCAGTGCTTGATCAAGGAAGAGTCTCGATTCTACGAGGAAGGAACACGGTCTTCCACGACCGTTGTCGCTCTCCCCTCGAGAATCAAAGCTCCTCCTTGACGTCTGTTACCGCTTCGGCAGAGAACATGCTCGCCGAAATGAACACGGTCCATAAGTTCAACTAGTACGGATTTGCTATAATTTTCTAACTATTTTCTAAGTTTATATTTATATATACTTTAACCTTCTTTCATGTAAATATGCAAGCTTGAAGTGATTTTGAGCTCAAATTGCTTACAAATGAAAAAAAAACCACAATAAAGAACCATAAATATATATAGTGAACAAAATGGCATAAAAAATGGTGAAAAATGAGTATGAGATTGGTAACCTTTACAACTGAAGAATCGACGGAGGAATCGAAGAAATCGACGGAAGAATGGATGGAGGAACAATGGAGGGAGGGAGGAAGCAAGAACACTACTGCAGTGAGCTTCAAAATGTGCTGAGCTCGGGCTCGGGGAGGAAGGAGGAGACGACCGATTTATAAAGGGAGAACATTTAGTCCCGGTTGGTGGATCCAACCGGGACTAAAGGTAACTTTCAACCCGGTCGCAGCCCACGGCCGGGAGTAGATTTTACTCCCGGTTGGAGCCACCAACCGGGAGTAAAAGATATTTAGTCTCGGTTGGTGGCTCCAACCGGGACTAAAGGTCCCCGCCACCTCACATCGGGCGCGAAAGAGTTGTTATAGAGAACCTTTAGTCCCGGTTGGATCCTCCAACCGGGACTAAAGGTATTTCTAGTCCCGGGAGCAAAAAATTCCGGGACTATAACTCATTTTAGCCGAGGATCAAAGGTCTGTTCTCTACTAGTGGTTATACTTACCGTATAAATATGTGTGGTCTATTCCACGCAGGCATATAATATAGAATAAGATATCCACTTGGGTGTCTGTGGCAAGATTCACCATCAACAATATGTATTATTATTGCAAGCGACAGTGACTCTGAGCTAGTTACCTGTCTGTCATCTGCATTAAAGAATATGTGCATTCACTGTGGCCATATAGTGCAAGTTAAATCCAGGAGTTTACCTGACCGACATCGATCCGTATAACACAAGTGGATTCAAAATATTCGTATCCGTATGCATATTAAAAGTGTTCTCTATATCTTTAAAATTCAGATTCAGATGAGCGGAAAAATTTTGACACCACTTTGACCTCTAAAATTATCACATAAAGACTGGAATTAATAATTAATTAGTGAACAAGAGCATACCCGTCCGCCCCGGTCTGTTATGCATGGTTTTGCATGTGGCCCGGTGTGACGTATCGGAGGCTTGGTAGTTTCCTTTTTTTTGGACAGTGGGTCTACGCCTGGCTATTTTTCCTTTTTTTCCGATTTGCTTTCCTTTTTCTTTTCGATTTGATTTCCTTTTTTCGTTGGAGACAGCTTTGTACGCGGGAACGACGGGTGACGGAGCGATTAGCGGGGCGTTCGACGAGACGTGTGGTCGCACGACCTATCGTTCTGCTGGGTAGATGTTGACCGTAGGAATTTTTTAGTTATAGAGATAGAGAAGAGAAGAGATGAGATTCTCCTTCTCCATACCATTTTATTTCCTCAAGATCTTTTATCAATAACTACAAAAAATGTATACTCATATTTAAATATAATTATGTGTGATTCTTCTTGTAATTTTTTTTGGCGATGTATTTGTTCTTTGTGAGGACATACTTTATATTCCTCGAAAAAAGGGACGTACTTTAGATACATAGTACCACCATCTGTCCTAAATTATAGTACGTTTTGATTTTTCTAGGTACATAACTTTTGTTATGCACTTAGATATGGCATGCGTCTAGATACATAATAAAAGTTGTGTGACTAAAAATGCCAGAAAAACCTATAAATTAGAACAGAGGGGGTAGCCGAGAGGCACAGTGAAACTGTAAGCGACCATATAGTCCAATGCAACGGAAGATGTTCGCCCTGTTTGTTTGGGCTTGTTTGGCTGATAAGCCATGGTTGAAAGTATTCTCGGCTGATTTGGTATGAGAGAAAAATACTGTTCGTTGGCTGAAAAAGTATGGCTTATAATCCAAACAAGCCCAAACGAACAGGGCGGTTGGCTGTTGAAACATTTTTCAGTTATATATGCACATAGGACCCTAGGAGTATGCACGCAAGGTCTGCCAATCAAGATAGTTACACTACAAGAAATAAGACTTTGCATGATGGTTTACTGGTGACGTTCTAAGAAAGCATCGTAGAATTCTATTATCTATGACGGTTTATTCTTGAGGTGATACATGTACGACGACTGGTTTAGTTATCGTCATGGTTGGACGTCACAGATCATATTCCCTCGTAAACGAAGCAAGATCCAGAGTGTTCCCTAGATAACAAATGATTTTTCTAACTTCAAGATATGGGCTAGAGTAAAATATGTGAGCCAAAATATAATTTATGATTTTTTGAATTTAACTGGAGCTACGGACAATTCAATTTAGAGGAGTTATTACTTTATATAAACATATAGATACCGACAAGAAAATTCGTTTATTCTGTCGGTAAGATAATTTTTTTGTCAGATTTTATTACGCACAGAGAAAAAATTATGGGAATAAAATCAGCCCGCGGAAATCTCCCACCTGAGCAAAATAGAAGTCCAAAAAAGCCCGTGTGCAGACTGCAGACTGCAGACCCCTCAGCGGAGCACAAGAAGCTCGACTGAAAAAAAGAAAAAAAAATCCCTCAACCTTTGCCATGTTTGCTTGACTGATAAACCATGGCTGAAAATATTGTTGTCTGATTTGTTGTGAGAGAAAAATAATATTTGTTGGCTAAAAAGATAAGGCTTATAAGTCAAGCGACCAGGACACTTATTATCCCTAAATCCCCCGACGCACAACCCTAGAGTTGCACGACTCGAGCGCTCCGTGTCAGCGCCGCCCTCTCGCACTCGCGCAATCGCGCTCGCCTCCCTCGTGCCGCACCCTCCCCTGACCAGCGCGGCACGGCGTCCCCGCCAGCCCTCCGGCCTCCATTGTTGCTGGCGCCCCCAACACATCCCTCACGCAGATGGATTCACCCCGTCCCTTTACTTCCCTTCTTGATTTCGAGGTGACGACGCGTAGCCCGGGCGGCAGCGCGGCCCCGAGGCGATGGCACGGACCAAGGCGGCGGCGCGCACCATCCCGTGCGGCAGCGTGCACCCCGAGCAGTGGCATGACCCCCGTCCCCTGGCGGCTGCGCATCCGGCCTCGAAGCTGTAGGCCTATGAGTAGGTTTCCCTCCCTCCCTCCCAAATCCATCGATTTGGCTTTGATTTCGATCTCTAATGTTGCAGATGCAGTGGATTTGGCTTTGATTTCGTTCTCCATGCTGTAGATCCAGTGGAGAAGGGGAGAAGCAGATCTAGGGATGATTTGGCGTCGGGGACTTCAAGATGGCTCCAGGTGCTTGCTTCAGAGAAGGGGAGAATGAGCAGATCTAGGGATTTGGCTTTGATTAGATGAACTAAAATATTGGTAACCATTATCCCGTTTTATATTGCTCATCGATCTTTTTGGGTGTTCTGGGCACAACTACATGTGTGTATGTCCCTAAGATAAACTCATCTAATTAGTCGTCTTGTAAGATGTCTTGTATCTATTATAAAATTGATGGTTTTAGGGGTAACACCTCATCTGTATGCAGTGTCTGTTATTTTATGATTTTAGCATAGTTGTCACCATCAGTAATTTATTGATCTTATTTTTCTTTTGTCAAAGATAACGTGAGATCAATTCTAGAAGCTTTGGTTTTGTGAGCAATGACTCCTTTGAATCATCTGATCAAGCAATAGAGGTATTGTATTCATCACACTGATTCCCTGTATTTCAATTTGCAGTGGTTCTGTCTGTCTGGCATTATTTGTTTCATGCTATTTTCTCTGCTGTATTTTTTAAATACATATGAAATATGAAATTCTTCAACTATCTCAGAAGAATAGGCCACACACAACGTTTGCAAGATATAATTAATAGTGATCTGTCAGCAAACACTCATCTTATTGCGCCCACACAAAGTGGGCTGTTTAGCAAGTACTATGAAAGGCTAAAGTGGTATATATATATATATATATATATATATATATATATATATATATATATATATATATATATATATAACCTTGCCTAGCTGCTTGCCTGATTGTGACTGAAGTCAAATACACCGTAGATGCCAGTACTAACTACTCAGGCACCAAAGCTCATGATGCTGCATATTTTTTTAGATGAATCTCTCTTCTGCTTTTAAGAAATATTAGCATGTGCTGATTTTGTTTTCTTATGTATATTCCCTTTTTGGAAAATGCAATTTGCATAACCTTTGTCATTGGACTTCCTGTATCTTTACGGTTTAACTGTATCACTTTCACTTGAGCTTTTACTTGTGCTCTCCAATTTACACATCATCACCTGAATTTGCAATTTACAGTACTGCTGATTGTACTTCTATTCTGTTAACGAACTGATCTGCTAAGTTCAGCTATGTTTTCTGATGCAACACTATGCATTATGTTTGTCCTGTACCTAAAAGACTAACTGTGTTTTCTTTGCAGGCGTTTGATGATGCTATCTCTGAATTATGGCAAGAGGATCTAGGTGTTCATATGGTGGCTATTTTCGTTAGTGACGAAAGGTTTTGTTGTGCGAGCAAATCATACGAGTTGTGTGTTGTACAAGCTAACATCTTAGTTCTTAGGTATTTGAGTGTAGCTTGGTAATTGCCTTAGTATTTCCTGTGAAAAATTATACAAGTACAAATGTTGATGGTTTCAATGAAAATGATGAGCAATGCGCTTTGTTCCACTTTATGTGTTTCATGAGTGTCTTAATGTGTGACAAGGTTAATGTTGATTGTATCGTTAATGCTGTGATGATTTGGCACTAATTTGTGATGTTCTTTTTTGTCACTATGGTTTGGATCTGGGCTGGTTATAGGAGATGGACAACTAATTCATGACGGACACAAATGCTAATTTGTGACGGCTCAATTCGGTCCAACAAATGTATGACGCGGGATACATAACGTTTTTCGCGATCGTCAAAATGAACAAGGAGCCAGAGCGGTTTGAAGTCATACCAAACGAGTCCTAAGAATAATGTTACTACAAACCGTTACGCATACGAAACGCAGTAAGCTAGACAATTGCTAAGGTGTAGTAGTAGTAGTAGTGAAGGGCTTTGTGTATCCTTGTTGATCAAGCGGCTACAATAAATTTTTATTACTTTATCTAAAGGAATATGAAGTGCAGTGTAGCTCACTGATCTTTTTCAAATCTGCCCGAGCAGGAATATTCTTACTAGTATAGCTACTGAATGAACAGCTGGACTAACTACTAAGTACTGCCTTTAAATTACGTTAACCGTGGAGCATAAAAAACACTTGTAGATTATTGATGAAATAGGAGTAGTAAATAGAAATAAAAGAAGTCATCATGAAGGTGAATTGGATGGTTCTGTAGAAGCAATTCTCTAACAATTTAGGCAATGGCAGCTACTCCTCCCCTCTCAGTTGATCACACTGCTTTTGTTTGACTAACCATTTTGGACGAGCAGACGGGAGACAAGGGACACATGCCCTGTTCAATACTTGGGATGCAAGGTATTATTTGCTTCGGAAGTTAATAATAAACCTACTCCTCTCCTAACTAGTATAACCAAGTCCATTCGCACAGTGTGATGATTCTGACCAAGACTCCAAGCGAATCAGTTTGCCATGCATATGCTTTGCAATTCCAGTTTTCGTCAGTAAATAGTACTATCAAAATTCCTGCAGGTTCTCTAGCATTTCCGGTAAGCAGTGAGCATTTTCAACTTTCATGCTATGCATTCATCAACGACCACATTCATGTAAAAACTGCAGATTGTGAATAAACTCTGCACTGGCGCAGTAGAAAGACTGATGCTAGTAACACCATGTTATGAGATACTTATAGAGACTAGTATTTCCAAACTTCATTATTATTGTATTGCCTCGATCTATCTCACAAGTATACCGAATCCTTAATTCAATTACATGAGCGACTTGTCCCGCACTGTACCTCTCTTCGAAACATACATATCTCTATATATATTTCTTCCAAACCGAATTGAATGAAAGAAAAGAAAAGAGAAAAAATGTAGGAAACCAATCACAAGAACAACATCAAATTAGCAAAAGAAGAAGAATTTTGATCATGCGTATATGTGTAGTTACGGCATGTAGAGAGCCTCCAATCCTTGGCAATCCACGCTCCAATCATGATCAGTCCCGCTAATCATTCCCTCGTGAAGGCTCAGGGCGTCGTCAGGGAACAAATCCAACGAGTCATACTTGGCGTCCTCTAACGTTGACAAGCCTGGCACGATCGAACACCACGACGACGAGAGGTTGCCGACGACGTCGTCCGTGGGCAACCCTAGCGAGTCGAAGCAGCTCTGATCCATGGCGAAGTTGAGCTCGCCGAACGCAGCTTGCATGCTCACGTCAGTGCACAGCATGGTGGTTGCGGTGGTAGTACTAGCCGTACTCGAGGGGCCAGTGCTGCTCACTGGCCCGCCTGACCACTCACCGAACCCGTCGTGGCACGGATCGAACTGCAGCGGCGCCAGAACGGCAGGGCTCAGGTCGCTGGAAGCGCTGAACGTGTCGAACGCCTCGTCGACCTGCCCTGCCGACTCCGGCATCACGGCACCGACACCTTCCTCCGCCAGCGGGTGGTTGAGAAACTTGGCGTACAGCATTGCGAGATCAATGGTGGAGCCATCGGCAGCAGCGGGCACGCCGCCAGGCATCGCCTGGCCAGCTGGGTTCGACGGGTTGCCGACCATGCCTTCCAGGACCATGTCCGGCCGGACAGGGCCCGGGAACCGGTGGCCGAACGCCGCATCGCGGCGGCCGCCACTTACCATGGAGTCCGCCGCCGACCGCAAGGACGACTTGCCCCGTCGGTTCTTCCGGCACCCGCCGCCTTCGGGCACGTTCCGGAGGGAGCCGCCCTTGGTCCAGTAGCGGCGGCAGCCCTTGCAGAAGTAGCGCGGCTGGCTGAGGCTGTAGTTGTTGTAGTAGCAGAACTTGGTGTTGGGCGAGTCGCAGCGCGGGCAGTTGGGCGCCGCCTCGCTGCCCTGCTTGTACCGCCGGTCCACCAGCAGCGACGGCGGTGGCCCCGGCGCATACGGCAGCATGGCCTCGTGGTGTGAAGACAACATTTTAGCTAGCTAGACCACCACGTACGCGGTGGTGGTCAGAGCTGGAGCTTGGAGCGAGCAGCTGGGAGGATCTTCGCCAAGAATGTTGTGATGTGAGAGGGATCGTCGGAGGTGACCTTGGAGACGCCAGAGATTCGATGAGAGATGGAGGTGGGGCGATCGAGGGCGAGAGGGAGAGGAGGTGGTGGGGTTTTTATACGGTGGTCGTAGCTCTGGCGGGGAGCTTTTCCTGGTCCAGCTCCAGCCGTGCATGTGCATGTGAGTTTACGCCCGAGTCGAAGTGACGAGATGAGGCGGCTACGGGCCTGCTAGGCGTGGTCGGTGTGGCGGAGCCGTACGTTGCGCCCAAGTGACCGCCGGCCGGGCCGGAGCGGAACACGGGAGCGCGCGCGCACCGGCCGCACGGTGCTGTGCTGCGGTGGGCGCGGCTGCATGCGCCGTTTCCGGGGAGGACGCGCGGTGGCCCGGGGCTCACGTGGCGGCGCCACGCACTGGCGTGCCATGTGAAATCCTAGGCGCCTTCGGACTGGTGGGGTGCGGGGGAAGCAAATCCCTCGGGATTGCCTACGACTTTGTTATTGGTTTCCCGAGGGAGAGCCCGCCCGTCGGCCCTTCGATTTCGACGGGTACGCTGCTGTGGGGGGCGCGGGATCTGCTCCCACACACGGTTAATCCCCCGGGACGCAACGCCATGCGCTGCCCGGTCGACTCGTGTGCTGGCGCATAGGGCAGTGTGCCGCGGGTGGCCACTGCACTCGCGTACTCGCTGGACTGTGCGGGTCAATTCTTACCCGTCTTCTGATCAGCGATTCCTAGTGACACTTTCGCCGTATAGGATTGCTACTGTCGTAGCTAGGAAGGATCGGAGACAGTTGCTTTCATCTGATGCACGTAATTAATCGGTGGTTTTCAATAGGCCAGGGAGTATTAGATACCTATCGGTGCAGAATGTGATCAACTGGTAAATATTTGTAGTTTTGCCATACATTGTGATCGGAGGTGGCCTAGCACTTAATGACACAGGGTTTATACTGATTCAGCCAACGTGCCCTACGTCCAGTTTGGGTCGGTCAGTGACTTTATTCCTGCAGGCCCATCGACGTCAGGTCATGCCTTCAGAGTCATGCCGCTGTCTCGGTATGTTTTTC